CATTTCCATTTTTTCCCCCTGTCAGGGAGGCCTGGATCCCAGCAAGGAAGATGTCACATTTGGTGGTGGTACCTGAATGTGGAAACACAGGATGCCTACTGAGCTCCCTGGGGCTGTAACCACTGGCCACAGGCCAGCATTCCCCTATGCTGCCCATGGAAACTCTGAAGTAGATAGTAGCATTGTCTAGTGTTTGCAATGTCATACTTAAGTAGTCGTAAGGAGAAGGAAAAGCAAAATACCAGTGTGGCCTAGAGGAGGACGCATTTGTGTGTGCTTGTCTCTGTCAGAGAGGGCTTCCTGGATGAGGTGATGTACACCGTGAAGACCTGACAGGAGTTTTCTGGATTTGCTCAGAAAACGATGTTCCAGGAAAGTGAACGAGTAAAATTGCAGTTTCAGCAACCGAAGACTTGGTGTCAGAAAACCAGACCCGAAAACTTTCTGAAAACTTACAGCCATGAGCTTACGGGTCAGTTAGCAAAGTGTCCCACCTTCAGCCCAGCCACCTGCATCTGCCTGAAGTCCCTCACGGGGGTGTTGTGATGATGCAGCTCCGAGACTATATGAAAGCCCTCATCCAGTGGGTGTCTGTTCAGCCCCAGGCTGCTCCCCAAGAATTGCCGTTTTGCCCACACAGGTGGAGGATGTCTCCTTCCTTTAGTCTTTCAGCACCACCTCCTAGATGGCCATTTTCTTTGTCCGCAGAAATGCCCTCATTCTCAACTCTGAAGCCACCCCAACTCATCACTACCTGGTATGCTCAGTCATTGGAATCCCAGAAATTTATGGCTGGAAGGGATCTTAGAAATAAACCACCTAGTCCCCTGGGGTTGTGACTTGCCCAAGGCCACACAGTGGTAATGAAGAGGATGGCAGCCCAGCACCGTGACTCCCCTGTCTTCCTCTTCCGCCTCCCTCCTCCCTCCCCTTGGGCTGCTCTTCCAAATGGGACCAAATCCTTCCTCATTGTACAAGGCCTGTCCAGAAAGTATCCAGTCATGTGCTATGAAAAATAGAGGCATTTCTTGAAGAAGATCCAAGATATAAGAAACATTGAACACAGAATAATGACGCCTCAGTGCCTATCATATTTTCCTGAATCTCATCAACGGTCTGAAGTCTCTTCCCTTTCAAAGGTGACTTTAGTTTTAGGAAAAGCCAGAAGTTGCTCGTCAGCCAAATCTGGGCTGTAGTGAGGGCTGACTTACCTGGATGAGTTGATGTTTTGCAAAAATAAACTCTGCATGAGATGTGATACATGAGAGAGCACATTGTCATGATGGAGCTGCCAATCACCAGTTGCCCACAGCTGCGGCATTCTGAATCATCTGATAGTTTCCTTGGAGGAATGTTGGAGCTTAACACAAAATCTGATGCAAATTTGTTACTCTACTTGTTCAGTCATTTTTTTAAAGATTTTATTTATTTATTTTTAGAGAGGGATGGGAGGGAGGGAGGGGGAGAGAGAGAGAGAGAGAGAAACATCAATGTGTGGTTGCTGGAGGTTCTGGCCTGCAACCCAGGAACGTACCCTGGCTGGGAATCGAACCTGGGACACTTTGGTTCCCAGCTCGCGCTCAATCCACTGAGCTACGCCAGCCAGGGCTCTTGTTCAGTCATTTTTAATGCAACGGCCACACAGTATACATGCTCACTCGACTACATGTACCACCCCCACTGACTAGAACAGTGAAGTCATCAGTGTTCACACATGCTCATTCCAGGCCACTCTCCTTGGCTGGCTGGCAGCTTACGTCGATGCCACACAAACCATTCCCATTATGTTAACAAAGGCTGGACCTTTTCCGGACAGACCTCATATACTGAGCTTTTCAATCTTTTCTCCTCCAGATGTGTCTCTGCCCATCTACAGCCATCAAAAACTATTACACTTGAACACAGTCCATCCAAAGCCCATTTTTACCTATGGCAAGTTTGGGGTTACAGTTTTATTTCCCAGAGTATGAGGCTCCCAGTTTTAAGTGGGGTAGATTCATGGCTTTAAATCACATTGAATTACATAGTAAGAAACTTGTTCATTTTTCTCTGAATTCTCCCAAGAGAAAGTCTCAGATCAGTGCTACTCTGTCCCTAAGGCTTGCTCAGTCCCCTTTTCAGCAAGGACGGAGGAGGCCGGGGCTCCGAGCCCTCAGCAGACCCAGTGTCCGATGAGAGTGAAGTAACACCTGATTATGGTTGGGTTTGACTTGCGTTTTATTTTATGAATGCCTCCTCGTATTGACAGATGGAGCTGGTTTTCCAATTAAGCTAGAGTTTAAAAGTTTCCATTTAAACGGTGTTAAATATAAAAAGAGTCAACCTAAATAAACACATTAAATAAGGCTTAGGTGGCGTGGGGCTATGCCCCCAGATCCCCCCACACGCTGGGTCTTCAAAGCAGTGGCCTGAGCAAAGGCCTGTTACATTGTTACATCGTTACATCGTTTTGTGTAACACTTCACAGCATCTGCAAGGGGGAAGGAGGGCTCGTACAATGTAATCCTCTCTTTGGCCTCACAGGGCATTTCTGTTTACCCAACCCATGTATAAAAATACCTCACCGTATATAGTTTAGTCAGCAAGTATCCTACCTGAGTGGAAATGATTTACTGAAACTTAGACCTTCTCCTGAAATCCAGCCAAAAACCTGATTTGGAAAAACCAAGACGTGCTATTTGGTTTCTTGCCGTCATTGTTACCGAACCACCCTGACTGGATAATTAGTGACACATAAAGTTCTCTAATTCTGTCTCCTGTCACCCGCCCCTTGTGAGGGTGTTTTTTCTCTCCTCCACGATCACGCACTAGGAATTTGCTGAACTGGATATTCAGTTTTTAATGAACAGAGGTCACCTTTGCCCGGAGCTCCCTGGCTTTGCTTACGCTGAAAAGACTGGGTCTTCCACTGGGTCATTTTTTCTTTGGCAAGAGCACTGTGGAGTTTTGGTACATGCGTGTGTGTGCCTCCGGCAGTCAAGAAGGTCCTGCAGGGACTTTTTTGCAGGAAAGGATATGTTTTGAGGCGACCACTCTGCACAGATTCTTTGAGGGTTTTGAAGTATTTGTAACCTGTCATTTTAGATTCTGAGCGTATTTGTAGCTCCAGCGGTACAAAAATAAACTGTGTTTTCTTGGAAAATGTGTGTGTCTGGGATGTGACAGCAGCAGCAAACTTCATCAACAAGATTTCCAGGCGTTTACAGTTGAAGCATGCCAGTAAAAGTATGTTTATTTAGACAGTAAAATCCTAGGGTGCCCACGTAAATATCCCAAACAATGTGTGTTACAGGAGCTTTCTTTGCTAATGTGCTTTAGCTTTGAATGTGTTTCGTTCTGGCTCCTGGAGTGTTAATGGATTACCGGGAAAGTTGAACTCAGATGGTGAGTCTTATTTGCTGTTCAGCACATGTTAGTGGGATGTTTCTTCCATTCAAGAGAATTGTCTCTGATGTAGGTAAATGTTACATCACAGTTGTAAAACTCTTTGCTTTTAATACTCCTAACAACTCTGGGGTTTGTGCTGGGCAGTAGAAGAGAGAAAAGGCAGCAGGTACAGCCTACACCCCCTATTCGTTCATCCGTGCGTTTAACAAGCCTCACCGGTTATCTGCCGTCTGCAAAGCTGTGTGATAGAAACAGGGAGGACAAAGAGAGGGCCAGGAAACTGTGCTCAGGGAGCCAAAAGCCTGCTTTACTTCCTCGGTGTTTCACAAAAATCAGGACAAATTGCTTCTTTTGTCAACATATAGTTTTCAAAGAGTTAAAAAACAGTAACTCATCCCAATGTTCAGCAAGCACACATTAAAGACTTATTTAACTCAATAATGAGGGGATCAGCAGGGTAATAAAGCTGGTGCAGAGGAGGATACCAGAAAGATATCTAGGTAGATGGACAGGTAGGACACATGGACAGACAGACGGATGGAATGAAAGGAGAAAAGAATGCTGGAGTAAGAGTGCAAAGTTAAGTGCGAAACTGGTTAACATTGTCCTACAAGGCAATCAAATAGTAACTTGGGGGAGTAGTATATGCCTACCAAGCAGAAATCCTCTGAGCCTATACTAGGCAAATATCATTTTGTTACTTTCTAGTCATCTGCAACCCTTACAGAGTCTGGGCCCAATCAGTGGTAAAGAGCAAAGCACAGAAAGTTACATTTGTCAAGAGTGTTAGATGACTCAGGTGAATTTGTCACTCAGTGCTGCAGTGCAGTGCTGCCCACTGGAACCTTCTGCAGTTAGGAAATCGTTGTGCCCATGTGCTGTGCACTGTGGCGGCCACTGGCCATATGCGGCTGGTGCGCATTTGAAATGTAGCTAGTGAAAATGAGGCATGGAAATGTTAATTTTATTTAATTTTTATTACCTTTGATTTAAATAGTCATGTGTGATTAGTGGTTATTAGATTGGAAAGACAGCTCTAATATGCCATTAAATGGGTAGTCATATTTCTGTTTTGTTTTCTGGATAATTTTTTCTTAAATACTTTGTAAATTACATCATATTTTAAATATTCTAACAGGAGTTAAATATGTAAAAGAACTCAGAGAAGACTCCTTTGAAAAGGCCTAATCCTGTCTCTAATCAAATAACTTCTTTTGCAGATATGGTGCCTCTTTTATTGGGTTTCTTGAGAGTGGACTCATCGGAAACCATTCTGGCCGGCAAGGCAACCAACCGCTTATGAAGTTAGCTTCTTTGGAGGGAGCCCAACTCTGCATTTTGTTTTCCAACTGAATCAGCTTGGTATTAATTTCCCTTAGCAAGATAATAACAGTCATGTCTAGTTTTGATTAAAAGGGGCTCTCTGGTTTGCAAAAAAAAGGGAGAACTATTAATATTTTACGAGGATTTTAAGGCTTAAATAAGTCAACGTTTCTGCTGCCATCACTTCATTATTCAAGATGAGCAATCAATGCATTGATAAGGCTGGCTGCGATTTCTCTCGAAACTCAGTCGTCTCACTCGGTTTTCTCGTCTCGCTTGCTTGTTTGCAGGGGTTTTTCCGCAGAAGTATTCAGAAGAACATGATTTACACTTGTCACCGAGATAAGAACTGTGTTATTAATAAAGTCACCAGGAACCGATGCCAGTACTGTCGACTCCAGAAGTGCTTTGAAGTGGGAATGTCCAAAGAATGTAAGTGGAGTCTTAAAATTTTTTTCCCGTTTGCCTTATCTATAAATACGGTTTGCTCAGCTTCCAAAATCGAGTCGCAGGGGACGTCAGCATGTGGAATTCAGACATGACACTAATGATATATTGCCAAGAGCAGGTGTAAACAGAGATGACATGAAAATAGAATAACTGTGGGGATTTTTCAGATAAAACTTGAGTGGCAGTTGGTGAAAAGACAGGAGTTGGGTATCGTGGATGGCAGCTTTGTATTCCAGAGCCGTTACCAACTCTGTGCATTTCAGAGCCACAAGTGACTCAAACATACCGCGAAGCCACTCAGCGACTACACTTCCCCATGTTGACAATGGAAATGAAGAGTTTTGCCTGTGTTGGTGAGAATAAAATGAGATGAGAGGCATGAATATTGACAGTAGTGATAGTTTGCCCTTTTATATATGGGAGGAAATGTAAAGTTTTTGTTGTGGAAGAAACATGGAGAAATTTGGCACATCAGTATTTTTCCAAAGTTGATGTAGATTTTTTCCTCCCATCCCACCCCCTCTTCCAAACAATTACATGCTTTATTCATGCAAAAAAGAAGATTTCAGTAGATTAAAAAGGAGTGGATCATAAACATCTGATCATAGGGATTTGAAATAGGCATGCTGTAGTATAGGCAGAGGACAAAAAAACTTCATTCTTGCATTTTCTCTTTGGTGCTTTCCAATGTGGGGAGTAAGAAATTGACAGGCAGAAGGCTTGGTCCGGGCAGGCGTAAGGAAGGTGTTGGGGTGTGGGCTGGTGAAGCACTTAATGGGATTGCTGTTGCTCCATTCACCCCATCCCTTGGGGACTTGGTGAAGGCAGGCTCTGAGTGGGGCTCTCCACTGGCTGCTGTGAGGGGACTCTGGAGATGCCTGAGACATGACCACTGCCCTCTCCGAGTGTGGGCCAAGAAGCCAGGCATCTTAGCCACAACCTTGCAGTGGGGTTTTCAGACTTATCTCACAGGTTAAGGGCTCTTGGATTTTGGAATTGGGGAAAAGGTGGCCCTGGAGGCAGAGCCTGACTGGGGAGGGAAAGCCCATAAAACCATGCAGCATGGCCCTGTGGGGGCTCAGGAAGCAGTGGGCTCTCCGCTGGGAGCTACAACTTGGGGATGTTTCTTGGTGTCCTGCCCAGTGTCCTAACTGTACCCAGAGTTTAATTCGCTTTTCTGCCTCCTGGGTTTCTACACCTCAGGGAAAACATCGGGGCTGGGACCAACTCAATTGACTTAAGCCAATTAGCAATTTCTATGTCACAGCCACGGTCATGGGTTCATGGTGTGACATGTAACAAAGTCCGGTCCGATGAGAATGAATTCAAGACTCAGCCTTATGATGCATAAAATTAAAAAATGGTACATCAGACTTCATCCAAATTAAAAATGTCTGCTTTCCAGAAGATACTGTGAAATTAATGAAGAGACAAGCCACAAGCTAGGAGAAAATATTTGTAAACATCTGATAAAGGACTCATATCTAGACTATATAAAACCTCTAAAAATTCAGTAATAAGAAAGAAAATAGCCCAATTATGAAAAATAGCCAATCCCCTTCAAACATGCCAAGATTATGCAAGGCAAAGATAGACTGAGGAGCTGTTCCAGATTGAAAGAGACATGACCACTAAACGCAATGCATAATCTACATTGGACCCTAGATCAGAGGTAAAATAGCTATGAAGGACATTATTAGGACAGTTAGTGAAATCTGATTATGGACTATAGATTAGAATATAGCATTGTATCAACTTCACACTTCCTGACTTTGGTCACTGGGCTAATTGTGTAGGAGAATGTCCTTGTTCTCGATGTCTGCAACTAACTCCCCATGGTTCAAGGGGGGTGTGTGTGGCAAGACAGACGTTCACTTAGCCCAGACTCCACATCCCCCAATTGATGAGAAAAGCATGATATCGACCTGAAATAGCCAGATTAGTCATAGGTTCATAGAGGCAAGTGGGACTCACAGGATGGTCATCCACTGCTCCACTTTCTGGTCTGCCATTCTGTAGACATGGATGTCACCCTGTAGTTCTGTGGGAGAATTTCAGTTCAGGCTGAAATTATAAATGAGTAAGCCAGATGTGGACTCAGGGAAAATCAGTACTTTTGCATTTATTTTGTGTGGGCTGGAGACCCATTTCCTGCTTACATTACTTAAAACCCATATCCTGCTGCTCTGTAAAAACTGGCAGCTTGGTTAGCAATTAAAAAAAATAATGTTTACACCCACAGGAAAACTCTAGTTTCAACCCTCAAGGAACCTATCACCTTAATCAGATTTAAAAATATAGAAATGGGAAGAAAATGGGATCATTATGCCCAAGTCCACAAAAATAAATATTTTCCATAGAAATTGAAGGGGGAGAAATAAACACTTGGAGTGTAGGGACTGAGGCTCTAATAGAATATTTTAAAAGTTGAAAGAGAAGGAAGCAGGAAAATAAGAGAATCAGTAACCATTTACATCACAATGTACGCAACTGAAAAGAACCCACGAATAATAGACTCGTGGAATGTTAGAACTGAAAAGGGATCTCAGAGATTGATTTTCACTCACCTCTCTCATTTGACATACAAGTACGCTAGGACCTAGAAAGGTGAAACGGGTTTCCCAGCAATCCCCAGCTGGCTAAAGACAGACCAAGATTACAGGGCATGCCTGCCACCTCTCCTTGTCCTGCTTTCTTTGCAATACCAAGATTAGCAAGATTTGCGTTCAATGCTAGCCCTAGGTTGGGACAATTTGTCAGTATGTGTCAGAGCTCTTTAGATGCAAGTAAGAGAAAACCCGGCTCAAAGTGGCATAAGGTAAAAAAATAAAACAAAAAAAAAATCAGCACAAGTAACAGTTCAGAGTAACACAGCAGGAACCAAGGGTTCCTGTTCCTTTTCAGGACACCGTTCCTGTTCATCTGTCACAGCTGTTTTTGCTATGTTGGTTTCGCTTCCAGGAAGATTTTCCCCAGTGCAAATAAAGATGACTACCAAGAGCTCCAGGTCTGTAGTCTACCCAGCAACAAGAGGGAGACGCCACCAGTGTCTAGGCACCAGTTGTGATTGGCCTCACCTCGGTCACATGCCCCTCTAGGAACCCATTGCTTTGGGGGGAGGAGGAGAGCAAGGGTAGAATACAGTGATTGACTCTGTCTGGGTCATGTGCCTGTCCCTGGGAGACAGGACTGTTTGACCTCACCGCAACCACATGGGCAGGGAGTGTGGGAGGAAGTGTTCCTCAGTGGGAAGTCAGAAAGATGGGAGTAAAAACTTCCTTGTGTCCACCAGGGTGGTCACACAATGCTCTTCCTGGTATATTCTTATTCTTTATGGGGCTGGGGTGGGACAGAAAAAAGGAAAGGGAGGGGGTGCGGTGGAAGGAAGAGAAAGAAAGAAACCTAAGAATCATAGTAGTAACGAACAGAAGGTGTTTCCTATGTGCCAGGCACTGAGTTAAGCTCTTTAATCCCATTTGACCCTCACAGCAACCCCATGAGGTAGGTTAGTTAAAATCCTTCCCCCTGCCCCTCTTTTTGGCAGACTCAGAAGCTGGGGCCCAGATAAGTTGATTAACTTACTCAAGGTAACACAGTAAGGGAATTGGGGCCCAGGTCGTAATATACACTGCACGCTATAAAAAAGAGCTTTTAAAACTCTTGAGTTACCTTCTCGGCTCTACTTTATTGCCAGTGGTTAATAAAACAATAATCACACTTCTTGCTCTACATGAGAGAGATAAGCCCTGGAAAATCATGGGCAAATTTAATTTTTATAGATCGAATATGGTTTTAAATGCATAGGGGGACTTACTGATAAAAGAAATCTTGTGGTGTGGCCCATCAGAAAAGCATGAGTATTTTTTCATTCTTCTGTTCTATAAGTGCTGGTTGGTATACCTTCTGTCTTCCAAGGGGTTTGTAAGGCTAGGGGAGCCCTTTTACCATGGAATAGCTATTTGTCAGAGCATGGAATTTGAAAACAGTAACAGCAAGTGAAAAAAATCGATTTTCAGCAGCGTTAAAAAGCAGTACAAAAATTTATGAAGAACTCGAGGAGGAGGCAGAGGAAGCAGAATGCCTCCAAGTTGAGTGATGAGCTTCTGCTGGTCGGGTGGAAGGCGAGTAGCCGTGTCAGCACAGGCAGGCAGGCACCCAGGCCCTAAAGTAAAAACAAGAACTAAACAAGAGGAACGATAAATGAAGACGTAAAATTTGGGATTGTGAAGGCGATGCCTGGACAAGCTTATGATGCAGATAAGCAGCTAATTGTCCACGATAAGGAAGGAGCAGGTGTGAGAGGCTGCTGCTCAGAGACTGTGGGAGCTTAGGAAGTCCGACAAAGGCCTTTGAGTCAGTTACAGAAACTCAAGTGAACAGTTCAAACTCTTAAGCCAGGGATCGCCAAAGTTTTTTTTAAGGACCTAATAGGAAATATTTTTGGCTTTCTGGGCCCTATCATCTCTTTGAATGGCTTGACTCTGATGTAGAACAAAAGCAGCCATAGGAGATACATAACAAACGGGTGTGGTTGTATTCCAATAAAACTTTATTTACAAAAGCAGGTGAAGGTCTGGGTTTATCCCAAAGGCACTAGTTTGTCTACTTCTGCTATAAGAGGCTCATCCAATGGCCAGGTATGCCAGTTACGGCTGCTCTGCGGTCTCATCTCCAGCTTCCACTCTCATTCACTCATTTCCTACCAACAGACGTCCCTGCTTCCAGTCATCCTGGACCACACTTGCCCACAAGCCTCATACCTCCATAATTTTGCAGAGGCTGTTCCCTGGAACATTGGGCTTCCACCTCCTCTTCTTCCTTCAATGGAGCCCCAGGAGCCTGCTGAAATATTACGTCCTCTTTGATGCCTCCATTGGGCCCCACCCCACAGTCTAGGCAGAGTTGCTCACTCTTCCCCGTGTCCCTGTGGTGCTTTGAACACACCTCCATGAAGCGCAGACTTTATTACAGTGTGATTCTAC